AGATTTCTTGTATTTATGCATGCAGTCCAGTCATTGTTCCTAACCCTTCCACCAAACTTTCCCATTCTTGTGTGCTGGATTTTGGTCTGGCCTTCCCACTGACTTCGTGCTTCGACTTAACCACTGTTTCCTCAGAATATGTATTTCGAGGGCTCTCTGCTGCTCTTTAGCACATTCCTTACCTTGCTTAGCAGAGCCGTTTAAAGGTGCAGTCTGCACTTGTCTTCTTCACTCACAATACTTTGTTCTTTACAAAAATATTTTTCCTGCAGTCCCTCTGTACGAAGCTGAAGGCCGGCAACTTGGGGCTCTCCAAATGTTATCAAATTGCACACACCTCCATCATCCTTCACTATTGGCAGTGCTGCCTAGGACTGATGAGAATCCCAGTACCTCATTAGCCGGAATGTTACCAGTTCCCTGTCCTAAAGTAATCTCCCTTTCCTTTGTGAAATAACTATAAAACTATCAATGTATTATAATACTTTGACTTTATAAAGAAACATGCATTTGTCTGGAACAGGAAAATATGACTGTTTGCAAACAGTTCAAGGAGAGCAATAAAACTCCTAAACAGTTTTTACTCTTTAAATTTTTATTTATTGTATTTATATCCCACCCATCTGGTCAATTGGCCACTAAAAAAGATATTTGCAATTCAGGGTTATGAGTTACTTGTACAGAGACTTCACATCATGTGCCTAAAGCAAAACATTTGGAGACTAAATTTGCACTTGTTCTTTTATTTCCACTGCTATGAAAAGGAAAGAAAACTATGTCATTGTATTGTTTTCTTTTCCCAGGAGGAAAAAAGGGGGCAAATATGAGGTTATGTTGAGGCCGACCAGCTGCACGAATGAGTGTGGAAACTGTGGATTGACTTCATGGCTTTCTTTGTGTTTCATTAATATTCCAGCCTCTCTGAAAAACGTTTGGGGAATCTTTCTCTGAACTTTGCCTCGTTCTCATTACATAGCTGCTCCTGAACAGAGAGTGAACGGCGGAAAAGTCAAGTGATTCCAATGCACAACAGTCTGCCCTGTGAATAGCACTGTCACTTTAATAATTCCTTGTCAAGGGATTGCTTTCAATCCTCTTGGGCTTAATGCAAGTGAGGATCAGAGAGACATTAAAGGCTAGAACGCTGGGTGGAGAAAATAAAAATGAAAGTGATTACTGTTTGAGTAACTGAGTGAAACCTGGAACATTTTTCTTCAAATGCGCTGAAGACCACCGTGAGCATCCTGTGCTGAATCTAACTGATAAAAGTCACCTGAGATTGCAACAAAAAGTCCCTTTGAACTGGATTTGTCTTCCTCAGCAGTTTTGCTTGGATTATTTGAGAACTGATGTTCAGCTTCAGTGGGGCTGGAGTGTGTTGAACTGGATTATTAGAACTGCCAACACTTGGGACTGTGCCTTAATTATATTTCTACATTCACTTAACTTCTATAACAGACAAAACCTTTCCTGTCACAAGGGATTCTTATACATTTTTGTAGGCTGACAGGTGTTTTCTCTTGTATATTTTTATAGATCGGGAAGTATTTTGCAGATTTTGACAACTCTTCTGGCAAACTCTAACCTTTCCCCCTCCCTCTTGCTGTTTTACGGGTGGTATTGGAAGTTTTAAACTGGGGAAAGCTGTGAGTACCATCGTGGAAAATGAAAATATAGAGCACTCTTTCTGAACTGAACTATGTAAGCATTTTGAAGCGGATGGCAAATTTCTGACCTCACAAGACAATCCCAGCGGGACTCTGTTGATACCGGTAAATAAGAGCTTGTGTCCAGTGCCAGAATTAACAACGAGAATGCCGGTCAAGAAGAAAGGTGGGCTATGAAGCTTCCTATCTCATTTTTTTTGTCTTGTTTTTAAAATAAACTGGATTTCACATACATGGCAAATTTCCATTAAAGGCATTTGAATGGGAGAATGAAATTGTTGTTTCTTTTTCTGTTGAGAGGTGAAAGAAAAGCATTTCATGCATTTTTATTTGTATGCAAGCAGACTTTTTTCCACCATCAATCAAAATTGTTTGAGAGTCTCTTAGGACACATTTTTATTGCAGATTTGGGGTTATTAAAAACCTTGCTGGCTTTTGTAGCGCCAGGACCTGATGAATAGGAAGGAGAGTTCTAAGAATCCCAGCAAACATTTTTTTAAAAAACCCTCACAAAATCAAGAATTCTTTCCAGTAATTTATTATACATTTAGGGTTTATGAAATGGTTTCAAAGTATGCAGCATAATTTACAAAATAATCAATGTGTAATTGTCAAAGCCAATAGTTTATACTGAGATAGTAAAACCTTTCCAAAATATTACCATTATTTTAAAGGGGTACTTCTAAAAAGGACAGTCATATTTCTGTTATCTAGTAGCTGTCATCTGGTAGATAAACAAAATGAAAGATGACGATTCAGGATCTCTTTCCCAAGTCATATGTTGAATAAAACTGCTGATAAAAGCAATGTGATTTAAATGATGTTTCGCATTTTATATAGTATTATAAAAGCATTCACAGCTTGTATTGCTCTAAGTTACCAGTATTTTTTGGAACCAGCTCCACTTCACAAAAGTATGCATACAATGTTATGGTTATTATTATTACAGATACTGTGTCCATGGCCAAGTCTTCCTATGGAAGAATGACTTGGCTATTGGAAGGATCTGATGGGGTGCCTGTCATGTCATGCATTTTTGTTCTGCGCATGAGACAAGTCCTCCTACCTCTCTTAGAGCAACTCTTGCCACAGAGAGCAGTTTCTCTCTAGCCCATGATAATATTCTCAGTGCTTGACAGTTTACTTCCAAGAATGAATGGCTGCCTTTCCCTTGGATGTCAGAGAGTGAAACAATAGCCTACTGATGTTAGGTTCTGAGCCTAAACCTAAGCCCTGCCTCCTTTCACAGCATCTGTAGGGAATCTAGCCTGTTCCTATTTGAACAGGAGTTATTTTGTTGTTGTTTGTTACATTAGAACAGGAATGGGGAACCTATGTTCCTTCCAGTATTGTTGGGCTGCAGCTCTCAGGAGCCACAGCCAACCTAACAGAGGAGGAGGATAGGAGTTGCCATGCTAGAACATCTGGAGGACAAGAGATTTCCCAGCTATGCCTGAAGGTGTGACATTACAGTATTTGGGTAATCTGTCTTTTATGTGAAACAATGCTCTCTTGAGGTTTTGGCCTTTTTTAAACTCTGCTTAATAATTATATTGCAATGTAATAATAATTACATTGTACCTGAAATATTTTGTTTTGGAAATACTAATAAAGAAAGGGAGGAGGGAAGGAAACACTTAATAGTGGCTGTGATAAATTCTGCAGACCCTTTGTCTCTTTTTCACTGCTCATAGCTAGGCTTTCCAAATGGCAACTCACAGACATTACAAGTGAACAGCAGAACTGGAGTAAAGGGTGGAGGGCTCAGCAGTAGATATCAAGGTTGCACGTAGAAGTTCTCGGCCAAGTCTGATACCTGGACTCTCTAGTTACAAGACTGTACGAATCAGGTTTGGGAACGATCCCTTTCATAGACTCTTGAGACCTTCCATGTCTCAGATAAGACAGGCTTAAGTTGGTGGACTGGCATTTCCAGCCTGGGCATATATGATTGTTTCACACATTCCATGTCATTATTTATATATGGCCCATAAAAAGGGAAGCAACCATGGATCATTTTTACTGCTGTTAAGAGATGCAACAGTGGATATATTGTGTTGTTGCAGCTAAGATCTGAGGAGGTGTCTCACAAAAGCAGATCACCTTTGTTTCGGGATATGCTGTGCTTTTCCTGCTGGTGGTATTGACCTTGTCCACTCTGCAGAGTAGTACTTTTGATCATTGCTCTGTGGCTGCTTGGGAAAATGTGTCCAGTAGAGCTTGAACACACTGGTGCTGTGTCTGTTGTCTGTGGTACTTTTGATTATTGCTCTGTGGCGGCTTGGGAAAATGTGTCCAGTAGAGCCTGAACACACTGGTGCTGTGTCTGTTGTCTGTGACTTGTTTTACTTGGAATTAAACCACAGGATAAGTATTCTTACAAGGCTAACATTTCTAACATTGGTGCCAGAAACAGTGTTTATGCTAGGCTTTAGCTATGCTTTGTAATATATCAGTTCTGTCATGATGTGGGGGCAAAGCCTTCCCCACTCACTCATTAGAGGAGAGTTTGGCCCAAATTTAGAAGGGAACAACATGTGGAGCTGCTGACATGAACTGAGAGGTGAACCAAACTGAACTAGGCAGCCAGTTTGAGCAAGAACTCAGCAGGAATAGCAGGGCACAGATGGAGCTCTGATCTGAGGCCGTCACACACACTTCTTCTTGCTTGTGCAAGCACTGAACATTTGGGTCCTCATGCAGATTTGTCTGACTTGACAACACTGACAAATAGTTTAACATGAGAGAGCAATTAGCTGCTTGATTTTGTGAGAATTAAAAATGTGTACATGTGGGAATTGTGCAGGTAGTCGTGTGTCTTCACTGTGGCCAGTCATGCAATGTGCCGATGGGAGGGCTTCAAGGTTTGTACTTGTGCTTTGGCACTAGGGCAGCTGCTGTACCTGCCATCTCAAGTCGCATGTTTGTAGTTGCACAATAGGATTTTGGCCACCGAATGTGCTTTTCCTGAAGAAGTATTAGTGTAACTTTGAAAAGCATTGGGAATCTGGTATCTAAGGCATTAGTATATATTAGAAATGGGGGTATTCGTATACGAATATCCCTGCACAGGTGGAAATAACGAGGGCCTGGCCCCATGGGGCTGGACTGTCCACTCACAATTTCGCCAGTGACATGAGCTTGTTGGACCTTCCTATCGTTGTCCGCAATTGATTGCCCACTCTTGCCAGGAGGCGGGATGACAAGCCTCTCTGCTAGGTTGGAGAGTGGCCAATCCATTGTGGAGAACAGTGCGATAGGAAGCCTTCATGGTGAAATCGTGAGCGGACAGTCCAGCCCCAATGCGCTGGACCCTCATTATTTCCACCTGTGGAGCGATATTGGTATTCATATACGAATACAAATATCCCCATCTCTAGTATATATCAAAACAAGCCAGTTTCCATCTCTCATGTAAGGTTTTGACTCTCTTGTGAGTTTTAATGTGTCTGTTCTTAATATGTCTATAACTGACTAGATGGCTGAGTGAGTTAAGTATTTGGCTATGGAGCCAGGGGCTAGGAGTTCGATTACTCACTGTGCCTCCAGGGAGAAGATCCGTCGGTAGTGGTGAAATAGTGAGCGGACAGTCCAGCCCCAATGTGCCGGACCTTCGTTATTTCCACCTGTGCAGCGATATTGGTATTCATATATGAATACAAATATCCCCATCTCTAGTATATATCAAAACAAGCCAGTTTCCATCTCTCATGTAAGGTTTTGACTCTCTTGTGAGTTTTAATGTGTCTGTTCTTAATATGTCTATAACTGACTAGATGGCTGAGTGAGTTAGGTATTTGGCTATGGAGCCAGGGGCTGGGAGTTTGATTACTCACTGTGCCTCCAGGGAGAAGATCCGTCGGGAATGGTAGACTACCTCTAAATACTCTTCTACCTAGAAAAACCTGAAAAGGGTTGCGGTATTTGGCTATGGAGCCAGGGGCTGGGAGTTTGATTACTCACTGTGCCTCCAGGGAGAAGATCCGTCGGGAATGGTAGACTACCTCTAAATACTCTTCTACCTAGAAAAACCTGAAAAGGGTTGCCATGTGTCAGAATTGACTTGATGATGATGATTCTTTGTTTTGAGATGCAAATAACTGTTATCCGTAATAATCTAATACAAGGATGGGTGATCTCCTGAGGTCTCCATGGGGGCTGTGTACACCAATGCCTCAACCTTGGAGGGTTACACCCACTCATGCGAGTTGTCCTCTAGTGGCCAGATTTTTGTAAAATTAAAAATGTTCAGGATGTGGCAGTCCTTCAAAATATGGGAGAATTTCCCCAATGTCCTCATAAATGATAAATATCTTTTCCCGGAAATTTTAAATTTGGTTCGGATCTTCAAAGAAATAAAGTGGGGGAAGAGGCAGGAAGAGGGCACTGTGAATAAATTATGCTGATATCTGCACTGGCTTCTTATTCTCTTTAGGGCGCAACTGAAGGGTCAGAGGAACTCTCAGGAACTTTAGACCCAACATAGAAGCCTCCAAGTGTGAGAACAACAACATTAAGAGCCAGGGCTGGGGAAGCCTGGGCTCTGATTTCCACTTGACTGTGAATCTCACTTCCTGTCCTTCGGCAAGTTATACTCTCTCATAGAAATGGGCATGAACCTCTGGCTCGGCGGTTCGTGCCAGTTCGTTTAGTGGCCAAACAGGTGTTTCGCGATTCAAAGCTCTGCCTCCTCTGGTGGATGCCCGCTCAGAGGCAGTATCGAAAGGAGGCAGGGCAGGGAAGCCAGGCTGTGCCCATCTCTACTCTTAGCCCAACTCAGCACAGTTTGCATGAGGATAAAATGGGGAGGAAAGGGTTAGCCATCCGTCCCATTTTAAGGGAAGAAAAGTGGGGCATAAAGTAGCAAATAGATAATATAATAATAATAATGATGTGCCGTCAAATAAATTCTGACTGATGACAACCTTTTTCAGAATTTACCCTTCCCTTCTTCTGGTACATCCTGGAACGGTGCAGCTTGCTCAAGGCCACAGATGATGTGCTGTCAAATAAATTCTGACCGATGACAACCTTTTTCAGAGTTTTCTAGGTAGAGATTACTCAGAAGTGGGTTACCCTTCCCTTCTGGTACATCCTGGAACTCTGCAACTTGCTCAAGGCTACAGAGGCTGGCTAGGCTGCCTTTTGTATCTGGAGGTATAATGG